CTTTCCCCAATAATTAACATTAGGTGTACTTTAAGAAGCAGATAAAAAAATTAAAATATATTTTAAATATATTTAATATATTTAAAATCTATTTTAAGTTATGTTCTTTGGAATTTAAATCTTTTCTTTTAAATGTAATCTAATACCTTTCTAAATTAGATAATTCTAATGTCAAGTAAAAATGTTTCAGTTTCTATACAGGTAATTTCTGTGTTTAATTGAACAGCATAGAATTCAATACCAATTCAATCATAATACAAGTGCTGCAGGTATCATCAATGAGAAAAGGTACACTGCCTGACTTTGTTTCTCAAAAGAAAAAGGGAAAAGTGCTTTCCAAGGAGAAAATTAAATTTTTACTGGTGCAGGCTCAAATAATGAAAAAGTGCAAAAGCAAAATTGCATCAGGAAACCATCACAAAATTCACTGAAAGTCGTGGGCATACTGATACTATGAAAATGGTAGTATTGTGATATTAAATCGGCATTATTTTACCAGAAAAAAAAATTTAAAGTTTTTAAATAAATCCTGTAGGATATATTTTCCACACATGAAACACTTGTGAGAGTCACATGCAGATACATGGGATTGTTTTAGACTATTCCTTATCTAGTAAAACAATTATTCGTAGGATAGACTATGCATATATAAGGCATACTAAAACAGACACATGACATGTTATCTTATTTGGTACATTATAAATAAAATTTGTAACTCAAAAGATAGAATTAATTATAAAGCATGCAAAAAATAGTCAAAGATGATAATCCAAACTCTACAGTTTCAATAAAAAAACTAAAGATCCTTATCTCTGCCATTAATGAACATGGAATTTAGAACACAAACTAAACCAAAGTGTGTATAGACTCTCTTACAGCACTGTATTACTCTGTGACTTAAGTTTTTATTAATTTAGTTTTTAACCTAAAATAAGTTTAATCATTCTGACTCAAGGCAGCTGAATCTCTCCTAGAAGACAGCAAATACCTACAAGGTACACATCCCAAAAACTTGTGGACCCAACAGTCTTCCTTCCCAATTTATGAAAAGATTCATGGATCAATGCCTGTTGTGAAAAACCTTTAATGCACTACTCTGAAAACAAATCCTATCATTCAACACCAAAGACTGTCTAGTCCTAACCAGCACTGAAGAAACATTGGACTGTTGTCAATGTCAAATATTCTATTCACAGCCATATTCACTGGGAGGCAAAAAAAAGAAGCTAAATGTAAATCTACTTATTTGGACCCATGTTATAAATCTCACATATCCTGGACACAGACCCTGATATGGAATTAAAATCATCTACTGGTATAAATGGAGTACCTGAAAACAGACAGAAATGTAGGTAGTCATTTTTAAACTCTGTATCTTTTGTAGCATTACACACAGATATTGCCATACTGAGAAAGAAGCTGAGTCTCCAGCAATGTGCTAAAATCATTGTCTCCCCCCTAAAAGGATACAGCAAATACTTTTAAATCACAAGTCCTTCTTTAAAAAGTAAGACTTTTCTCCCTAGTCTAAAATATATCAAGAAATCTGTTATAATAATGAATAGTCATTGGTAGTGGTATAAAAGTAGCAATTTTTGTTTGTTTTAAAATATATGGCCATCACATAGCTACTGTGATTTCCACCATTTGCAACATGATCAGCTCACAAGAGACAAGAACAGTAATGACACAAAGGAAAGCATTCTGGTGTCTATGTGGACAAGAAATTCTTTCCTCTAAATGAAAGTACAAGATCATGAATTAGTACATTCAGTCTGCACACAGGACAGTTCAAGTGTTTTGCAGTTACCATAAAAAAACACCCAAAGAAAAGCTCCTTGTAAATACCTCTAGTTGTTTTATTGACATAAAAGTATTAAGAGGCATTATGCGTTATTCACAACATAAACAGGTTACAATATTGTGAAGCTATTTGGTTTAAACAGAGAAAGTTCAGAGTTCAAATACAATAGTACTCTTCCCTTATTTTACAGGGTGTAACACCACATCCATTCATCTCCTCCCTCCACAGAGGCTTTCCATTCTTCATTCTGATGATATTACACCATGACTCAATTAGTACCAAAATTATCAGATACTGACACTTATGTGATATCTCAGTACCTGTAATATTGTGCTGTCTTCATACCGAGCTTTGTCACACTCCGTATCATACAACCCTGTTGTCCAGACTTTCAACAGGTCTTCCTTCCATGAACAGAGTGCTAGAAATGACCTTTATATTTCAGCAAGGATCAGGTGTAGAGACTGCAGTCAGGTTGTACTCCACCACTACAGTTCCAGAACAAACTGCAGAGGTCATGCTCACATAATTAACTGGAACATGCAAGTCTCAAGAAAGTGAGAGCTAAGATGCTGTAGAAGTCCACATTTCAGGGAAACTCCAGAAAGGAAAGGAGTACACTAAGTGAGAAGTAAGCACAAAACATTACAAGATACACTGCACTTTCCAGAACAGGATACTCTAGAACACCTCACTAATAAAAGGGTATTTGTGAAAACAGGGAGAAGTCATTCTTACCAAACAGCCCTCTGAAATCCCAAGGATCTCTTGTCAAAATGGTTCAGCAATATCAAAATATTCAGTAATGTCAAGACAGTTTGAAGTGTTTGCATCATAAAATTAAATCCTATTCCTCATAGCTATTGAAAATATCTATCCCCTTTGGAACTGACCGAAACAGGACAAATATGTAATGTTTTTTAACACACTACATAACTTTATTTTTTAGAAACAAGATCGTAAACAGAATAGAACTGCACTGTAGATAATAAAATCAAAATTCATGTGTTTGATGCATGCAGTAAGTCACCTGAACTCTGCACAACTTACACATGGCTCTAGCAAAGCAGGTTGTGGGAATTGGCTTTGCCGGGACACAGGGCCAGAAAGACTCCACCCCTGAAGCACCAGGGGTTAATTTCAAGCCCTGGGAAACATTTGTTAGGTCAGGGCAAGCTTGAGAGACCTACCCATCATCCCCTAGTGTCATTAAATTATGCTGATTAGTCCAAGTTCTGCTCCCCTATTGGTTACTTGTTTTCCCTATATGGTTATGATTCTAGAACATTCTTCCCCCAAGTGTATATATTATTACTTTCCCTTGATTTCTGGTCTTTTGGAGTTTGTCCCTATATGTGTGCAGTTTATGGGCCTCGTCCCTAATTTATTTTCCCTATGAAAGTTCTTTTGTTTTCAGGCACTCCATTGAACCTGCTACTTTTATATGAGCCTTAGTTGCCCTGGTGTCAGAGGACCCTAAAGTTCTAAGGATTGTCGCAGCCACCTGCACCGTGACATTAGGTTGCATTACTTCTCTTCAAGCCTACTCTCCTTCCCTTTAATGGAAGGTGGAATAAAGAAGAGAAAGAATCAAGAGCACGAAATGCTCTGATTCACAAAGAAACATGCTCCATCTTTTAACCAAGAGAACATATCACAGAGAGGCATGGTTAGTGAAGTTGAAATTTTTCCATCATAATCTAGTGGCATACAGAACTTTTCCAGAATTATCTAATAAAAATTAATTTTCCATTTCAGGTCCTCAGTTTAATTTGGGAAGGACCATGTAAATTTTTGGCTTAATCTTTATGTCCCTGTTCCACTCTGTAAAAGAGATGTGATAATATTTCAATTTTTTGAACAAAACTTCAAAGTTTGTTAAACCCAGGTATTCTGGTAATTTATGCTCTTCCACACAGTTTCTAAATCAACCATTTGGCTCATACCTTTATTTCAAAAAATGCTGTGAAGCAGTCATGCAGCTTCATTGTAATCTGGCGAGTCTGTATTTGGTGCTGTAGTCATACTTCTGAGTCTAAAAAGTATTCAAACCCCTACCTCCCACCTTTCAAGAAAAGATTCTTAGCCCTGAGCTAGAGACTAGGCTGGGATGCAGCACTTTTCCAAATTGTCACATTGTATAACCAGATTCAGTGGAGGAAAGTCATGACAAGCAGCTACTGGTAGATGCCCACCTGTAGCTAACCTGCAGGCATTGGAAGACATGGGAAAGACCAGATATGGGAAAGCCCTTTCCTCTGACCTTTACCACAAAGACTGTGTTCATATTGAACAGCTGCTAGGCAAAACACACAGAACGTGGCTGGGAACACAACCTGCCCATTGCACATCTCTCTTAAAAATATATCCTAATGGAATTACTGCTAAAGGTCTCTCTGACACTGTATTCCTAGCCCCATAAATCCTAAATATTTAGGTGTTATGGTTCAACTTCAACAGAAAAAGGGCCAGAGTCTCTAGATAGATTCAAGAATAGTTTATTATGTTGTGGCAGCTATCATCTTCTCTTCCAATAACTGAAAGGAAAATAGTAATTTTCTGAGTAATTTTGACAGGTAAGACAATAAAATCTGATTAAAAGAAAAACATCATCATATAAAAGTATATAAAACCAGCTTCTGTTTAAGTAGCTTTAGCCACAGGTATTTAAACTAGCCAGTAATAGTCTAAATTCTGAGAATAAAAGTTAACTTGGTTAAAGATTGAAAGTACATTTATTTTTAACTTCAAAAGTTTAAAAACAAAACAAAACATAAACCCCAAAGATAATTGTATTTTAACAGAACTAACAGTCATAGGAAGAGGAATAACTCCAGTATAAACTTGCTTCTGCTGTAGTCTGCCATCATTTTACTTCTTCCGTATTTTCTGATGTCATCCTATTTTTAATGTTTTTTATGTTTTAATGTTTTCCTATTCTATACTCACTAGATTATTTTA